CGATCTAATATTATAATGATAGTTTAATTTATCGAATTTTCTCACGCAAAACAAATAAATAATTTATTTTTCAAACACAATCCAAGTGTGGTTTTGGTTTGAAGTTTTTTGGATTAAGTTTTTTGGGGAAAATTTGAGGTTTTTTTTTGGTTTTCGTATTCTTTTTGTTTTTTAAGTGAAATATTTTTTAAATTTAAAACAATTTTTTTTTTTTTACTTTTTTTAGATGCCAGCCTTAGTTAGATGTATCTAAAAAAGTAAAAATTGTTGTGAAAAAATATTTAAAAATTAATAAAATACATCGAAATAGCAAAAAATGTACCCTGAATTCTTGTAATTTTTTTTGTATTTTTGGTATTTTAGTGAATTTGTTAAAAGATTTTTTTTACTTTTTAGGTATAGCTTATTGTTAGGTGTGTCTAAAGAGTAAAGAAATTGCTTAAAGATATTGTGTAAAAATTCAGTAAAACACAAAAAAACACGAAAAATAAGAAAGTAGAATTTTTTGAAAAGTATTTTCTGAAAAGAGAAACCAAGCAAGCTGATTGTTGTCCAAATTTTTGGTGTCAAACCTAATAAATTAAATATATTACAATTATCGGATTGACTTAATTTTTTGTATGGATTAAATACATGAAATATTCAACAAAATAAATAATTTGAATTATCAAAATAAAACTCATGGTAAGTCCACAAGTCTAAACAATGCCCTCCAATCCAAATTATAGATTGGAAAGAATCCTCCTCCAACATAATTGGAGAGGGTGAATAATAAATGAATACTAATCACCTTTACCATTATGATACCACCGCAATCAATACTCTAAGATCAATCAAAGAGGCTCCAAATACAATAATAAGAGAGTGAAGAGAAATCCCACTAATTTAAGGAATACGAAATGTTACATTTTCACTCTTTTTATTTTTTATTTTTTTAAATGAAAAACACTCCCTCTTTTTATGAATTCCTTTGTCATATCATGTATTGTATATGTCCTTTTGGTTTAATCCTTTTTGGTTTAGTCCCCAATTTTATTATTTGAGATTGGGACGTGTATATATGTTTATTTTCTTTTTACATTTTTATCTTCTTTTTTTTAAAAAATTTTATTTTGCTAAAGATTTTGATCAATTGATGGGTTTGGGTTTGTTTTCAGAAACATGATAGTCAGGGCCCACCCTAACTCTTTGGGGGGTTTAAGGTGAATTCAGAAGATAACCTGACTCTCATATATATTTTGAAATTGGTAAAATAATAACAATCTTCAATTTATTTTTATTCTTTTTCTTGTACCTTCTACAAATTTATTGCATATGGTATACATAATTATTGAGACAAATTTTGAACATTTTCAATTGTTGACACTCTTATTTTATTCACATTTTTTTTCCTGACATAGTAAATTAAATTGTAAAATTTGATTATTTTCAACTTTAAAAAATTATTTGTATAGAAATAATTGTAACTCATATAATCAAACAATATTCTATATAATAATTCATACATTTGGCAAGCAACAATCTATTATTTTTAAATAATTAACCAACTCAATTGTTTGTTTAAATAATCTACATTTTTAAACTACTAATATTATAATGTAGTGTTTAGTTAACTGAAATGAAATTGAATTGAATGGAATAGTCATTTCTTAGTCTCTTTACAAAATTATTATTTATTCACAATAGTGAATGATGATTTCGTTTGTAATCTTTTTTAGTAAATTAAACGTGAAAATAGACATTATGATGAAATGATTATTCTATTTAATTTTATTTTAATAAACCAAACATAACTTAAGATCAAAATAATTAACCAAACATATCGTAAGATTGAAATTATTTCAACACTTTATTTTTTAGATAGAATTTAAGAGCCTAAAGCGTTGGCCTTACTCACCTTACCTTAGGGCCAGCTTTGAATTTTCTAAAATGAATTACTAGACTATATAAATATGCTTTTGATTTATTCCTTATTTTTATTATATGTGATTGGGCTACATGTGTATTTTGTTGAAGGGTTAAATAGATTTGACTTTGTGAATCTTGATAGTTTGTGTTTTTATAAATATGACAATGTTATTTCAAATTCTTTGCAATGAATCATCAGACTATAGATATGTGCATGATATTTACATAATGTGTGAGATTTATGTATTTTGAGATTTTATATATTAATTAAGGAAAATTCTATTCGAGTCATAGGATAAGTTGGGAGTAGATATTGAAATTTGATTTTCTTTTTTTCCATTTCTACAAAGGTACATTTTGAGAAATTTTTTTTGATAAAGTGATTTTGCATAACAAAAAAAATTCAACCACATCTCATGCATAACACGTGTCAAAAACTAATATTGAAAGTATTATAAAAATAAACTATTTAGATTATCGTGTCAAAAACTAATATTGAAAGTATTATAAAAATAAACTATTTAAATTATTGAAATAAGACATAAGATAAATCTTCTAGCCCTCGAATTCTTGAGATGTGAATATGATTAAGCATAACAAATGCTTTT